GCCAACCATTATCTATCCTATATATTATAATATGTAAAAACTGTCCTCCTTAATGTATTCCCTTACAACATCCTCATTTAGTAATCCTATACCTTGAGTGGCTCTTGGGCCTTGTACTGAACAATAGTAAAAAAAAAAGTTCAGGTTAATGCGAACTGATACCACAAACATTTACTTGAAGTGCAGAATGATGTGGTGGAGGAGTCGTGGATTGACAAGACCTGAAAGAAGAAATTTGTCAAGTCAGTAAGTATCGGTTAACAGAAAGATATACTGGGGTTAAGAGAGACTGTCAACTGTTAGTCTTAGCATCCATTTTTATAATTTCTGGACAGACTGCTAAAGATGCTACACATAAGTGTAGGAAATATGTTTTGCCTGCAGCAAGCTCTAATTGGATAGAGTGATGGTGTGCAAAGAACCACTTAAAGAAATAAAACCATTTTTTTTCCTTCTTTTTTTGGTGATGGGGTTGGCAGTTTCAACCCAACATAGCAGAGATTTGTCAAATTTTTGCCACGCCTTTACTGTAATACTAATGATGATTCCTACTGTGATTGACAATAGGTGTAACATCATTTCACATTTATTAATGTTCTGGTGGTACTTATGGGAGAGTGGTTTGCTATTAAAACTGTTGATATGCATACAAGAAGAAAAACAGGTGGTGGACGTAAAACATAAATTAAGTGGATACATTTCAAGACTCAACGTGTAGAATTACAGGAAAGTAAAAGTGAAATGATCTATTTTCATGCAATTTGCTGATCAATGCAAAGTGTGATTCTTACACATTTTTTTTTCTTGAAGCAGTGTAATGTTCAGCTCAGATAATGCAGATGACTAAGAAGATTTAGTTGTGAGCTTCTGTGTTAATAGTCATGTGGAGAATTATGTGTAACAAGGTACTGACAGCGGTGTGTTAGCAATAGCGACATGATGATAGGTAACTGATGGTGACAATGATCAAGATGTTAAAAGTACTGAAATTGGACAGATAGTGATATGTAAATAAAAGGTTAGTGTTTAGAATAATAATCATGATGGTGAAAGTAAGGAAATTGGAGATATAGTGGTTGGAAACTGTAGTACTGTTGGTGACAAGAATCAAGATGCTAATATTAATGTCATCAACCAGAACAGTTTTATTATTTGTGGTACCATATTAGGGGACAGTGATATTAGTCTTAGTAATCATTACCTTTGTTGTCAATGGCAAGAGTTAAAAACTTTTAACTGGAGTTAATATTCCCTAAGATTAAATTATTGCAACAAATGTAGAAAAAAATAGGAGAAGGTTTTCATCAGTCATCCAAATGAGTGTAGCCTTGATGACTCATAAAGTAGCACTTGATGTAATAGCTTCTATTGAGTTTGTCTGCTTTGGTTTGGTTTGGTTTGGTTTGGTTTGGTTTGATTAATTCTATAGCATATCAGCATTCTGTTGATTTGATAAATAATAGAAATGTAGATATAGGGTTGGTTTGCATGAGAGTCAAGAAGGTTGACATGGGTTTGGGTTGCATGATAACTAAAAAGGTAAAAAAACCTAGGTTTGGTTTAAACAAAGTTCAAAAATGTATACATCAGATTGGCTTGCATGAGTTAAAAAAGGTAAGCATAGGTTTGGTTTGCATGAAAAACAAAAAAAAAAAAACATAGATTTGGTTTACATGAGATTCAAAATCAAAGAACTAGGATTGGCTTGAGCAAGAATCAAAAATGGAGATATGTTAGGTTTGCATAAGAATCAAAAAGAAAAAAAAAACATAGATTTGGTTTACATGAGATCCAAAACATAGACCTAGGATTGGCTTGCATAAGAGTTCAAAAGGTAGACAGGTTTGGTTTGCATGAGAATAAAAAGATGGTAGACATAGGTTAGGTTTGCATGAGAGTTAAAACTGGAGGCATAGATTTGGCTTGCATGAGAGTCAAAACTGAAGACATAGGTTTGGTTTACATGAGAGTCAAAACTGGAGACATAGGTTTGGCTTGCATGAAAGATATGCATAGATGCAGTAATCATGTGGTACCTTTCGTTTAGCAAGCACTATATCTCTGTACATAGATGTATTTAATATAGTGTTAACCCCAACCAGCTGACTGATCCTGAGCTTTAACACTGATTTCTATCATTAATAGGTAAATTAAAACTATCTTAGCCACCAAGCAGGGTGTATTAAGTTTGTTGTAATAAAACCGTGAACTGTAATAGTATGAATGAGAGTCTGTTTTCATATAAAATCTCACTATACTGGTCACAGAATTCATAAAAGTTGATATAAAAGCATTAATAATGGTCTTGATCACAGTGTTGACTGTAAAAAGTGTGAATACGTTAGTAAGAAAATTCATAACGACTGAGATGAAAGTGTTAATAACAGTCATAAAAACGATGTTGCCTGCTTAAATTTCAATGGAACTGGTAACAAGTTTCAAGACAGCTTGACTGAAGGTGACATTAACAGTCATCATAACTGTGTCACCAACTCAATGGTGTTGATAACAGAATTTGTGATGAAAAAGTCTGAAGAACCAATATGATTTAGGCATGCTTTGTGGTTGACATAGTTGATCGTTTCACACAAGCATCAGTGATCTGTCTTTCAGACCTGGGAAAAAGCTAGAAATTCAGATGCTGCCAACTTGGAAGCAAACTTTTCTTCCTGCTCCCTGAATATTCTTTCCACTTGATTTTGTCGGTGAATGTGTGGGTGGTTTAATGGATGAGAAATTGGATCTAAAGTTTAAATTTCAGTCAAGTTACATTCACTTATGCACACAGGTATGAATCCACTTCTATCCCCAGCTATGGGTAAAATAGTAGTAGAGACTGGACCCTATAGCCTTGGTTGTTATCCAGTCTAAGTGAACAACAACTCTGAATTAAAAACAGTATATTTTATTTATTGCCATCTACCAGCCTGAATATTCAAGAAATCTTATTAGAAAAATATGCATTCTTGAATATTCAGGCTGGTAGATGGAAATAAATAAAATATACTGTTTAATGAATAAACAGAGTATCAACTCAAATATGGGTAGGCATTAAAATAATGTTTGATTAATAAATGATAATATGTATATATATATATATATATATATATATATATATATATTGATATAATGGAATATGCATACACCTGAGTTCCCCCTCACTGGAATATGATTGGCTGGTGTCCATCATAAATACAAATGGACATGTAGGTACAACAGAGTTTAAGTCTATGACGACACCCATTGGACTACGCCATTGGCTATCCTATTGGTCTACATCTATTACCTGCGACTACGACAAGTACCAGTTGATTACTGCTACCGTGTAATACTTGGTTACAGTAGCCAAAACCACATAGCTACTTTGATCAAATATATCCCTTCCGGGACATATCATATATATATATATATATATATATATATATATATATATATATATATATATATGAAATTTTCAGATAGAGTATATCTGTAAAAGGGCAATATGAATAAAGACAAAAAAAAAACTTAACCAACATGTTTTATTCTCTAAAGAACTTTATCAAGTTATTAGCTAAGTTAAGTTTCCCTTTTGTCACTATTCATATATATATATATATATATATATATATATATATATATATATATATATATTAATGTATATTTTGGCAGCAACCTTTCTTCCAAACATCTTCCATTGAATACAGCCGATAAGGAAAAATATATATATATATATATATATATATATATATATATATTATGATAAAGTGGAAAAATTTTCATGTCATGCATTTCCTCCTTTGGGACTTCATTGGACTAAAGTGATGATTATGTTGATGTGACTACACATGCACATGAAAAAAAAGGGATGCTGAATATTTTAAAATTAAATTAAAATTTTTTCTTAAATATATGTTTTGGATATTTAGTCAATTTTCATTTTTTTTTTCTTTTCTTTGTTTCCATCACTTTTGTTACTAAGTATCCCATATTGTGATAATATAAGATCTGCTAAGAAAAGTGAAATGTTATAAGAATCTGGATGTGGATGTTCTTGCAGTTAAAGGACTTTCTATAAATTTTCATCTTAGTGAATTGCTTTCTCTTTTAATTAGAGCAGCATTTTTCAAATCAAATTATGGTTAGTTTCATTACAGAGAGAAACTAATGCATTTCGTGTGTTGTTTTGTAAAAGATCTCTTTTGTTTTCATATAATATTTTATTTAAATTCCCTGAGGTTTCTCCTATGTATTCCTTGTGGCAATTATTACAGATGATAGAGTAAATTCCTCCTTCAACTTTTAGCTTATTATTTTGTTTTGTATTAAGTCTTTTATTGTCTTAGAAGTAGTTGTAACAAATTTTATATATTAAGAAATGGACAAGGTCCGACAATTTATTTATTAAAGACATTTTTATGTTTAACGTTGTTATTTTATAGATACAAGTATTTAAGCAAATGCTCTGTTTATGATAAACAGTATTAAATAACATTTACCGGCCTGATAATAATAAATTGTCGGACCTTGACGTCATATATTAAGAAATGGACAAGGTCCGACAATTTATTATTATCAGGCTGGTAAATGTTATTTAATACTGTTTATCATAAACAGAGCATTTGCTTAAATACTTGTATCTATAAAATAACAACGTTAAACATAAAAATGTCTTTAATAAACAAATTTTATCTTAAGTTTTGATAAATTCTTTTCAGTAGTTGAATAGCTATGTAGAACTATATATTTTGATTCGTGTTTTTTTTTTTTTCATAAAATTGTTCTTCATATATAATAATTTTTATATCAGCTTCTTATATATACACATGTATGTGTGAGAATGGTAAATCCTTATAAACACTGTATAATCCATAAATATACGTGGAGAAGTGCTTTGTTCTGCCTTTATTTTGCACCAATGTTGCAGTGGCTTTTATCTTTCATTGCCATATTTATGACTTGTCCAGTTTGAAATGACCACAGATCCTTGACCACTTTAGGTGTCAGTTTGATAATCCTAGGTCACTTCTCTCACTCTTTGATTTTCTTCTTGCTTATCATCTGATTTTTCCTTTAACTCTGCTCTTTACACCCACCTCCTTTTTCGGCTCTTGTTTCTGTACCTCCTCCCGTCATTCAAACCTCAAAGATCTTCTCACCCTAACTCTTTTTTGCTCTTACTGTTTTCTCTTAGGGTTTACTGATTTCTTCCTTTTCATCTTTTTCTTGCTTCTTCTTGTAATTTGTACTGTCTTCTCCCCCACTCTCTCCATATCTTTCTCTATCTATTTATTTATCTCTTTTTGTCATTTGATCTTTTCTCTTTATTGAAGTTTCTCTTTCTTCCTCTTTTTTCCTTTTCTTTGCATTCTCTTTCTTTCCTTTATATAATAATAATAATAATAATAATAATAATAATAATAATAAATTATGATGATGATGATTCATCAAACATACAGAACCACACTCTAGATCTTAGAAAGCAAAAAAATACAAAAATTATAATAGTAATACTAATCATCTGTTTATCATGTGAGATAATGGTAGTGCCCTATTTGGACCAAATTCAGTTTTGCAAACGGCCTCTAGAATGGTTTAGCAGTTCCTGTTTCTCCTGAAAGTTTTGCAGATGAAGCAGGATGTGGAACAAATATCTGAGACTGCTCTCTCTGCTTCTGACCTCCAGCTGTTGGCCTTGCTTTATGTCAGTCTTCATAACTCTGCTATGGTCATCTGCTAGTAGTCCCTGGTTAACTGGACTTGTGAGTTTCAAGTCCCTCTTGCCGACATCCTTGAAACGTAAACCAAGGTAGCCTGGCTGGTGGTATCTCATGGTCAGATTACCCTAAATAATGCCTCTTTGTACATGGCTATTATTCATTCAATAATAATAATTATTATTATAATAAATTCTATTAGGGCTTAAGATGCCCCTGGGCTAATAGAATTTGGAGGCCCTTTCATTGTGTATGTTTGCTTCCAGTGCCTATAAAATATATATATATATATATATATATATATATATAGATAGATAGATAGATAGAGAGAGAGAGAGAGAGAGAGAGAGAGACAGATAATAGATAATATATATATATATATATATATATATATATATATATATATATATATATATATACATATATATATATATAGAGAGAGATGATGTTTTTTGGGTGTAAAGCATGAAACACTTCAACTCTAATTTTTTAATGATTTTGGAAATCGTTCAATTTATTTAATTAGCAACTTCATGATATTTCTATCCAAACTTTACATCCTTCAGAAAAATATTTAGAATGAAGGACCTGTATTAGACTGAAATTCTAGTATTCCAATTCACTAGCAAAACATCATAAAAACATAAAGATGATGGAAAACGAAAATTCTGACTTGTGATTCTAGATCACCAGAGTTGAAAAACATTTAATTATATTTATTGTTAAAATTGTCAACTTCAAATAGCCAAGCAAGTAATTATAAATCATGGAGATTAGATAGATGAGAAAAGATTCTTTGATAGTATCCCATTGTAACGAAAGATAATGACTTGTGTCACAGTGAGGAATCAAAAACATAGCTATAGTAGAAAAATTAATTTTAGACTAAATTAAATTAACTTTTGTCTTGATTTGTTCACAACAAAGCCTTTGATAAAATCATCAAAAGTAATTTCATGCATTTTATCCCTCTATAAAAGTAGCCCCCATTAAATCAGAAAATAAATAAGTCTCCTCTGTTTTTATACCTTTAGTTTTTTTAGTTTTATCAGGAGCCCAAAACTAGATGGCCCTTGAGGGCTACGCTAGTCTTCAGATCCCTGGGCTGCAGCCCATATGTAAATCCAGCACTGCTCTCATGGCTTCTGAACTTAATCGTTTGGAAGTGTCAACATAAAGATTTTTCTTTTAGTAGGTTAAAATGGGTTGCAGTCAATATCCCATACTGTATCACAGATCTCCTTGTCAATTGCCTGACTTTAATGTACCTTAAGGACAAATGCACTGTGCATCTCTTTTCATGAGTGGAAGTAGTTGAGGAGCATTATGGCCAGGGCTTGAGAGGTTTGTGATTTTTTGTTTTAAGTTTAAAAATCAAGGCAATTTGGGTGTCACCTTGAAATACTCAGGAACATTTTTATGGACTATGTTGCTCAACATGAAGTTATTACTCACTGGACTCCACCCACAAGGTTATGCACTGCATTTATCAGAACTTATTACTATATTGTGCACATTTGGCTGTGATGAATATGCTTGGTGTACCTTTATCAGGCTGGGTTTCATGTTGGGTATATTGAACTTTGTATATTTGTACCCCAGTCTCCTCTTGTTGGTGTAATGATTTACCATACATACTGGACTGTACTATGCTAGGTCTCAGGTAAGGCATTATATTGAACAAAGGAAGAGAAGAAGAAGAAGAAGAAGAAGAAGAAGAAGAAGAAGAAGAAGAAGATGATGATGATGATGATGATAATGATAACAACAACAACAATAATAAAGTGGCATGACAAATTAAAAGAAAAGAAACTTCAGAGATAATTATTGTGCTTTGGGTAAAAGATGGTTTTTTAAAGACAGAAACAGAGTCAGTGATATTTGCAGCACAGGAGCAGACCATCAGAATGAAAGCAAACAAAGCTGGGATAGACAGATCACAAGAAGAAAGCAAATGCAGGATGTGTGGGAAAGGCGATGAGACAGCAATATACTCGGTTAATGTCCCAAATTGGTACAGAAGTTGTATAAGTGACGACATAATTGAATTGGTAAGAGAACCCATTGGGAAGCATGCCATAAGTTTGACTTCATTCTAAAAGAGAATTGGTATAAAAATCAGTCAGAGGAAGTGGTAGAAAATGAGAGTCACAAGATATTATGGGATTTCTCAATGCATACTGATCATGTCAAAGGATGAAAATCCAACTTTATTGTTATAGATAAGAAGAATAGCAAGTGTCAAATTATTGACTTTGATACAAGAGTGAACTCCAAAAGAAACTTAAAAGATAGAAAAATACCATAATCTGGCTAGGTGATGAATTATTTTCTACTCTCCAAACCCATTCTGCCCAACTCTTATAGGTGCAATATTGCTACTCTTCACTATTTCTATAGAAAATGTTCAGACAAGCTACATTCCCTAGTTCCACCAGTTCAGATTTTTACAGGTAAGATCCACAATGTCATGTACAGGAGGGGTGACCTATTCTCATTCCCTTTTTATTCCATTGATAAAAAGGAACTTTCATTCAGACAGATGTTTTTTTTGAGAGTTGCTGCTTTGTGTAAAAATTCTCTTGAGAGAATGATTCCTCAGCCACTGCAATATTAATCCGAGGTTGATCATTATCTATCTGTTATACTGGAACATACCTATTCTATTGTAAATAGACTCTCCCACATATAATAAGTAGTAGTAGTAGCAGTTGCCAGGGAGCTCAGTGAGTTGGTTGAGTCAGTCGATGTCGGACATTAAAGTATCAACCACCACAACTAGATTGCTGCATCATTAGTTATTATATCAAGTTCCTAATGTTTTGTATGTTGAACCTTTTTAGGACTGACTTAGTGAAATACAAGCCTCCACTGTAAAACTACTCTATAACACTATCTTAGATATCTTCATAATATGCAATTCTTTCATGCTTGAAACAGTACTTCACCGATTTAGTAACTCCTCAACTTGAGCGGCTCTTGGGTCTTGTGAATAAAGGAAAAAAAGAAGAAAATTAACAATATAGATCAAATATTATACAATGTATATTACAGATCAAAATATAATTCATATAATTCATAACTACCTGTCAGGCTATAGATTTATTGATTCATTATTTTTGTTCAGTTTCTTACTCTTCTCAAATGCTTTTCATTTTCCTCACTTTACTATACATTCCTTCTCTCTTTACATTTCTTTTTTTTTTCTTTTTGTTCTCTCTATTGTCTATCCCTTTTCTCTCAATCTCTTTCATTCTTACTCTCTCCTCTATACTTTTATTCCCTCTTTCTTACATTCACTTTTGCCCTTTCTGTTTCTATTTCTATCTCTTCTCTTTTTGACCTCTCTTTCTTTTTATACTTCTCTATCTCTCTCTCTCTCTCTCTCTCTCTCTCTCTCATTCTGCCTTTCCCTCTCTACTCCCATCAATCTAATATTGCTTGAAGTGAGTTTGCTTTCTGAGGAAGTATGGAGTTAAGGATTGTATCAAATCTAGAATGGTGCCTGCATTAAAGAAATGCTTGAAGCTAAAAGGACAAAAGATAGATTTTGGTGAAGCATTTCAGGAAATAAACAAGGAATCACATCTCACACAGAAAAAGGTTTCAGAAAAATAGTGGATATGTCATAAGAAGAAATATCAACTCATAGACATCTTTGTGTTAGTATTACAGAGGTTAAGGGTCCTGTCAAGTGGTTATAACTTGCTTTGAACAAAGAGACAGAATTTGAGATTGCAGAAATGAATACTGATATATATATATATATATATATATATATATATATATATATATCAGTAAACATGTATCAAAAAAAGAAAAGGTTGACTAGGGTATTTCTAGAAGGTAATGTTTTTATGATAAACATATTTTGTAATTATAGTGCTCAACATCAAGAGATAGAGCATTAACAGTAATAAATACAATAAAATATACACTTATCTTGTCACTAACCTGAGCTTCATGAAGATTAAATCCACTACACATTGGATTAAATTATGAAATTTTATAAGATAAAGATACATTTAATTTAATTTATAATATATATATATATATATATATATATATATATAATAGTTCTCATTGAGTGATGATAGTTATAAAGCAGTGCTCCATGTAAAGTAACAGAGCTAAAACACATATTAAAACCAATTATATAGTTGTTATTCCTAACTTCTAAAGTTACTAAAAGTTTTATATACATGGCAATAAAGGTTTATATGAAATAAATATTAATTTTATTGACAACATTGGTATCATTTTGTTGACTTTTTATTCTTCAAATTTCATTATTTATACTACACACACACACACACACACACACACACACACACACACACATATATATATATATATATATATATATATATATATATATGGGCATGTGGCCGAGTGGTTATAACATTTGCATTCTGACCATGGGACCCGTGTTTGAATTTCACCATGATCAATTTGTCAGAAAGGAGACTTGATGTTACCAGAGTGGAGGGGTCAATCCCAGCATGCAGCACCGTTGAAAAGTGCCTGAAAACC